ATCAGACGAGTTTTAAGCAAAATACTGGTTTCTTTTCTGACCATGGCACTCTAACTTTGCCTGTCTATCACGCCTTTTATGCAAACACCTTGAGGAATGTTAGAAACATGGATTCAGCTCCACAGCACTCCCAGGGGATAAGTGTGAAGCCACAGCATCTCTTCACAAGCTTGGAGAGACATAATCCCCATCCTACTGTGGGAAATGGTACTGGTTATAGTCCTGAATTTCAAAAAGACTTTCAGATGTTCCAACAGTTTAGACTTACCCAAAGTTAAAGAGACCTGTTTGGGAAGTTTAGCTATGTGAAATTTAAAACTTTTGATTGACTCCATTGTAATCTGTGAATTCAGTGTATTACTGAACTCCTCAGTATCTTCAGAGTAAGTCCTTTGCTATCAGGGCTGATGTCACACATCACTTAAACCAGGAATAAGAGTCACAAAAGAGAGTTTTCACTCAACTGGAAAGAGCATTCAATTTTGGTTTTTACGGTAACTGAAACCTGCACACTTGAGGGATTCCAAGTACAGACTCAATTCTTTTCCACAATTATGCTGGAATAAGTCATTACATCCAGTTATAATAGGTCAGGACAAATCCAGGGATAGAAAATCAGCATTTTTCAGTCAAACAATGTTCTTTTTTTCCAGGAAGAAAACTAATTGGAGATTTGCTCAGTTTTGGCCAAGTGTCTGTCCATAATACTCTGTATTTGACAGTAATTAATCTTAATTGGGACACATCACCTTATAGCTTTATCTCAGTATGTGGTATGATACATAGCTGAAGTACTCCAGCACGAAGTGGTTGGAGAACTGACAGCCCATGAATTCCTCTGTAGTTATTACAAGCAGCTTGGGAGCCTGACTGCTAGATAAATTGATGCAGATGAAAGACTAGTTTGTGTTAATATAGGCATTAATATTTTTATAAGCAATAATGGCTGTTACATGCAAAATTAACTTACACAAATTTGCCTCTTATTCATGAATCCTATGTAATTTTCCTATTATATTTACCCAACCACTTCTTGGGTGTCCTCAGTTGAATGCAACCTTGAATTTCCTATTATCAAAGACCTTTCCATTCCCTTCCAAACTACAATCACTTCATCTCACTGTATAGCGATCTTCCCTCTAGCTTACCCTTACTGAACAGCATACTGCAGCTAGGCCAGAGTACTAGTAATTATCCCACAGTATAACAGATATTTGTATTTTGTTAAGGATGACTTTTACCAGTACAAATTCAATACTCTGCAGAGTCACACAAAGAATCGGTGCAAAGTGTTAGTGATCAACGGGGCACAATGTTTCTTCTGTAACCTAGTTCATATCTTCCAACCTATGAAGAAACTTCTTCAGCAAGCTGAGCTGTTAACTCCAGAAACTAATCCCTATGTGCAGGTAGTTTGCATGGTCTCCCAGATCAGTGAAGTCTGTAAGAGCACACATAAGCATGGCTGTGATTGCAGCCATGTGTAACGTGTTTGTACAAATGAAGGACAACATTCTCCAAGGGAGGACAACGCAACCGTGGAGTATGGTGAGGCTCAGAAGCTGTTGCCACTGCAATGCATTCATTAGAGAAGCTACAGGAAAAAAAAAAAGATGTTGCTTAATTATTTCATTTTTAATGCAATTTCTCACAGTAGAACAGAGCTAATAGTTTTTCACTAAGTAACTGAAAACAGTGAACAGCAGGATGCTGAGGTTTTGAGTGACTATGCAAGTTTTTGAACAATTATTTTTGAATGTAAGTACTCAAAATACCTTTTCTCTTCCAGTAACTTAGAAACCTGCATCCAAAGCTTGAAAACATTAGAGAGGAATAAAGAACCCTTGTATTTAAGCATGTTTACTCCCACATCTGATAGGGACCCTTATCTAAACACTACATTGCAGCAGGATTTGCAGACAGAAGTTACTCAGTCTCCATAAAATAGACACATCTTCAAAGACCCTAAATTGAAGTTCATCTCCCCACAGTTCCCAGCCATGTAAACCTGTTAAAAACATCTCACCATTTTTTTAAGTCAGTCTCAGTTCAGTAGAAACTGACTGAAAATACAATAGACTACATCCTAAACCCATGGTAAATACAAATCTCTGGTCTTCTGACAAGGCAGAATAGCACCGGGTAGCAATGATGAGTAAGGGCTCCTACATCACGCTTCCAAACTCCCTCTGCTTCAACTTTTCCTCCCATCTGTTTAAGCATAATAAAACATTCAATATTGCACACAGAAAAGGGAAGTCTCATATGGCAGGCAATCTTATGTGCAAAATATAACACTATGAGGACTGAGATCTCAGGCTCATTTTGCAGTATCTATTATGAAAACCAAATCATAGTGCAGCTATTTCAAAGTGTCTGATCAGCTTGTAAGATTTCATTCGGGTTAAGGAGTCTCAAAATAGTTTAATAAGATGTAGAGCTGGCATAGTTTTAATCACGGGAAGAAAATATACACTTGCAGACTGCCTTAATGAAAGTGTCCCAAAATGGGTTAGCCTGTACTGCCATCTCACTGAGACACAAACATGGGACAAAAACATCCGAGTACCCAAGAGATGTTTTGTTCCAGAAAAAACAATCATTGTTCCAGAGTTTCAACAGAAGAAATCCAAACTGACACAAATGTGTTGTTAAGTGTCCAGCAAATTGCTGCTGCTAGTTAAACAAAAGGAAAAGCAGCAGAACTCAGTGTGAAACTAAGCGACAGTGTGGTGTACTGGATAACAGTAAACTCCTGGAGGGACTGGACAGCACTAAGGAGTTTAAAAAAAAAAAAAAAAAAAAAAAAAAAAAAAAAAGGGATTTAGAGGATAACAAGAGGCCTTAAAATACTTCGAGAAACATCCCCAGGTGAGAAACCAGCTTCTTTTCAAGGTGTGCTATGACTGCTACATCCACTAGATGGGTTCAGCACAACATCCAAAGGGGAGAATCTCATTTGCGGTCTGATCACCAAGCATTTGGAAAAATCATGCAGCAGTTGAAACAGATCCACATGGAAGAGATTTACAGAACTGTAGCTTTCCAAATAATCTTGAGAGCAGCAATCCTGGATATTAAATGACACACAGAAGGAAAAAAAATAAAAAAAATCACTCAGTCCTTCAGGAATTTGCTAAACCACCTGCACCACAAACACCTCTCACAGGAGCAGAGTCAAACACCAGATTCAAGATAGGCTTGGTAGCAAACCCAATAAACTTCTAAATAACCAGTGTTACTCTAACATCTAGTCAGGCTTTTTTCTTGGAGGTTTCCTTTCTAAGCACTAACCAGACTAGTTCTCTTTAGTTTGCAAAATCGGACAAGATCACAGCCTGAAGGGGAAAGGCTGCAGTGATAAATATTTAATGGACTACATCAATAAAATTTATTTTGCCAAGGAGAATGGAAGGAGAGGAAAGGGAGAGAAATAATTCATTAAAAGAACTTCAGTTTAGTAATGACAGAAAAAAAAGCCATGCTAGAAAACATTAATTAAACACAAAGAGGTTTTAAATAGGTCAGAGGCTTAAGCACTCTCAACATGACAGAGAGCTGTTTTCAGAAGGAAACACTGATATGTATAGCTAATAGTAATTCATCCCATGGCAAATAAATATCCCTGGATACACTAGTAACAGTTTCAACTTCTTAAAATACTTCATATCACCCAACCTGTAAGACCTGTTCAGTACATGAAAGTGTCATTGCTCAAAATTAAGAAATGTAAAAAGCACCTTGAAGTTTCTGTTATTTTAAGGCAAAAGTCTTGCCTGTTTTATATTGGATGGGACAGTAAGTTATGTTTTCCAGAAAACAAAAATTAAGGTATTAAGTACAAAACAAACATTCTTGTACTGCACAGCTCCCCATAACTCAGGATAGAGCTTAATATTTGCAACTTCTATTACAGAATTTGCAAAAATAAATGTGTAATCTCTCCTTCCTTCCTGCCACTATTTGAAATCACCTGCAGTGACAGAGTAGATGGCACCTCAGAACGTCTTACACCTTTACCATTTACTCTCCTGCTCTACCCAATCTGGACCTTTTACAACCACAAATCAGGATGGGCAAGGAAGAACTTCAGAAACTTGTCTTTATGCTAAATGAAGTTCAGGAACCCATTAATTCTCAAGTTCTAAGTCTAGATCTGCCAATGTCTTGCTATGTGGCTTTGAAACACTGGATTGGGGATTTCTTTTAATGGGTGAAGGGGAGCAGCACATACTGTGCAAAGGGTGGCACAGCCTCCTGACGAGCCGATTAAATGGTATTAAAATACTTTACAGCTACTTCAGTGAGACCTGGTAAAAGACTTCATCTATTTAAAGCCCTACCTTTTTAGAAGCCTTTCCTGTAAAATTATTTACTGGTTTTGTGGCTGAAGTAACACTACTTAAACCTCTCTAATAGTGACATACAGAGGTGATGAAAATAAAAGACAAATTCTGTCGATAACCACAACCAAAAGCTCACTCCTCAGCAGTGCTGTCACGGGACAAAGTGGTCAGTAACGTGAAGCAGTCGGGTCTCCAAATGAGTGATTAAGTGCTGCCCTCTAGTGAAGGCATGAACCACCTTCAGCATCTAAATTTCTGAAACTGATAAAATCTGATCCAGACAGATTTTAGCTAATTCGTTTGTAACAAAAGAATGCTACAGCAAGCATCTTTAAATCATAATTTTATCATAAAAATAAATCATAAGCACACTTTGTTTAATTTTACTCTTCCATACTAGGGTCCTCAGGATTAGCACTGCAATAAGGTTAAACACTGCAGTCTATTTGACACCATATTCTGCTTTCTCCTCCGATCTGTGAAATCAAATTCTCATCTTACAATGAATCACTGGCAAAGCCATTTTAAAATTCATTACACCAGAGAACACAATACTTTATTTAAAACAGTATGACAATAATTTAATTATAGGTTCATATATTTATAATTTTTGACATGTTCTAGAACTATCTTTTTCTCATGCTTGGAGTACTCACGCTTTTCTGTAATGCCACCTTCACAGAAGGCTTAATGCCTTCACTGCTAGTTACTGGAGCACCCTGACTCCTGATGTTACTTGCCCAAAAAGCTCCCTCATGTTAAGTGGACATTAGTCACAATTCATTCTCAAAGCAGGGTTTTTATTGGCCACTTCAGGAACGAATCTATCAGAGATGGAATATCTGGCATCAGATGAAGAACCAGCAACAACAGCCCTTGCTAGGTGACCCTAACGGTATCACAATTTCACAATTGATTCAAAAACCAACTATGAAGTGATACTTGAGATGCTTTGCTTTGACAGAAAGAATGGGGACTTTCTTAAGAATTAAACCCACCTTACATCCAGTTGCTCTTGTGGCACATAGGCAGTGAGCACAGCTGAGGGTGGCGGTTCTCACTCTGTGGTTTAAGCAACCTTTAAGCTATAGCTGGCCCATCAGGCTGGGCTGAACTACAACGCCTGCATCCACAGGTTATCAGGTTTGTATTTTGCTCCTCCAGTCAGCAAAATGCTGTTTCCAACCCAGCCTCAGATCAACCTGGCTGACGGAAAAGCTTAAGATAAATGCATGGAGAAGAAGTTACAGTTTACACAAAAACCAGTGTCTCGTGTTTCAGCATTGGAATACTTTATATGCTCATAATATCTAGAGACATTTAAGTATTTCTTGAAGACATCAGCTTGAATGCCAACCATTAAAACATACTTAGACATTTTGTTACACAAAACATTGGAAAAAGTTGAAACGACTTGCCTGGAAACTTATCAGGTACTTTTATTAAAGAACAACGTTTAAAAACACAGATGTTAACATTAATATTTTTGAACTTCCATATAAAATTAAAAAGCTTGTTTACTTTCACCCATGTACTTGTACCTGCGGGTTACACCACCTGTGGAAAGATCAGTACAGAGAATTCTTAGTATCTTCCAAACACTTAGCCATCACAAAATTTTATGCAAGTTTAACACACAAAAGACATACCTGCTTCCAGTCTGAACAAGTTTAGCTTCCAAACATTAAGACATTTTGGGTCAAGGAGAACTACTGTATTACTGTCCAGGCTACAGGTCTTCCCAGTTTCCCAATAACAGGTTAAAGCATTCAATAAAATCATATCTGCATACGAGCTATGCTTCAAATTTCAGTAATTTAAGTAATCTAAATTTGAAATTATGCAGACTCGTGTGGGCTCACTTACATGACTTCATAATAGGATCAAGCCAAGTATCTGCCAGCCTACAGCTGTTTTTAACAACGCTGCCTATGAGTTTGATTTAAATATATTCAGAATTTTAAAACTGCTGTCAACAGGACTGAGCAGAAGTTTAGCTGAACTACAAGCTCCCTGTAAGAGTATCATTAGTAAAACTGGGATTAAGAAGCCTGACCCTTGGCCGTCATGTGGAGCCTACTACACAAGTGATCCAGACAGAACAGTTTCAGATTACAGTATTAAGAACTTCTTGTTGCAATCTATAAAGAAGTGGAGGTAGCAAAATGAAAATGAGAATCCTCAAAACAATGTGGTCAACAGTTCTACTGCCACTTTTACCTCAGTTCTGGTCCATTTTTTCTTGTATTTTCTTTTAAAAATCTGAATAATGTTTCAGCCTGAAGAAAAAAAAAAAAGTTGAGACAGATTTAAAACTTGACAGTAACTTGAGTGAACAACACAAAGCAGCAGCAACTATTCAGTAGTGTCACTCGACTATTCTTTGCTAATCTGAAATACAGGTGTAGCAAGAGATAGCAATCATCCATGCTAGACTGACTTCAAGAGCCATCAGAATATGCAGTTTAAGTTCAAATAAAGGACAAATCACAAGATTTAGTCACACTTTTATAGACATGCTTGGGAGTAATTTCGTAAATTCTCCCTGTCAGACTTCATAAATCATTAAAATCTCACCTGAAAAATACAAATGTTTTCAAGTATCACAAAGCTTAAAAAATACTTCTGCTGAATTATTACTGCTCCTTACTCCAATCACACCAGCAGAAAACAACCAACCCCCTTCCATTCTCATAAAAGGGCTAAAGTTAAGCTTACACCAGTCAGACATCAACCGCAAACTTCGAGTTCCACATTAAAACCAGGATTTTAGAATCTAATTCTAAGCTGGCAATGTCCTCGCAATAAACCACCATCTTGCCACATGCACTACCCAGCAACATGCAGCAAGCCTTCAAACCTCACCGAGCCTGAGCTCTGACACAGATCACTGGACAGTGGAGGTCAGAAGGAACCTTGAGATCATCTGTCCAAGCCTCACTGCTCAGAGTGGGGCCACCCTGAGACAGCTGCTCTGGACCCCGATGGCTTTTCAGTATCTCCAAGGATGGAGCCTCCACAGCCTCTCCGAGCAACCCGTGTCAGTATTGCCACCCTCCCTCCAAAGATGCTATTCCCCCACCTTTACAACTTGAACAAAGCCATGCCAGGCACAAGTGTTAACACTGAGGCACAGACCTTTTCACCTTCTGAACTATTTTTTTAATGGAGAGAACATCCAGTATTGAACTTTTTACATCCTAGTTATTTCAGAAAAGGACAATGACAGTTGCAGGGATGTCTGCAGCAATGTATACTTCGTAATCGGACAATAAACAAGGCTCATTCTCCAGAAAGGAAAGCCAGCTCCACACCCAATTAACTCACCAGGTGAAATAAAGATCACAAAGACAAACCCTATCATTTATCAGTCATTTGCCCCATCTTACAGAATATAAACTTGTTATCTGAGATTAATAAACCTAAATTAGTACATACCTAAATAACAGAGCTTTGCCCTTGTTATTTGCTACAGAGAAAAAACCACTTCTGGGAGAAAAGTCCATAGATTCAGCAAGATAAATCTGTTTTCTTCTGAACACTGGGAAGTTTGAGAATACAGTATATGAAGGGATGTGTACCTATTCAGAAATATGTGATTAGTTATAACAATTAGGAAAAAGCCACTAAAATTAAACTTAAATACAATTTAAAATTGAAGGTCAATGTTAAGTTCAAATTTTCAGTTTTACTCCTATTGTATCCCACTGTATATACAGAATTCTACTGGACAAAAGGTACAGGGAGCATACTATAAAGCCAGTTACTGCAACTCATTTTTAAGTAATTACATCTAAGCAGTAAAAACAGGCTTTCAAACCCTCAGATTAATTCAATAGTTCCACTGTTGGCCAGAATTCTGACACGGCTGGCAATTTTTTGAATGAGCTAGGAAAAACACCACATAGTAAGACTGTTACAGTTAACAGCTGCTGGAAATTCACATTTGTTGCTGAGTTAGATTTACAGTACTAAAATAAGGGCACTTTAAAGAGAAAAACAAAAGGTAAACTGGGCCATAAGATATTATTTTCAGACCAATTTCCCTGAAGACAAACAATTAATACCTTATAAATGTACAGTATCTTGTACGTGCCCTGATCTGCTCAGTGTAGCAAATTTGGCAGTCTAAATATCTGTTCATTATCCATTTTATTATGTCACCAGGAACATTCTTGATCAAGGTACAAAAACACTTGCACTAAAGAAGCTGAACATACCAGTTTGACAGCCTCATCAGTTTGACGGGAAGCCACTGCCAAAATTTCTGTGGTGGGATTGAAGGTCACACACGTAGCAGAAGTAACTAGGTTCATTATTGCTTTAACTGGTTTAGGATGGCTTTCTTTGAGACAGACATCAGTAGTATATAAATTTACAACTCCAGAAGCTGAACTAAAAAGAGAAATTTACAAAGACTATACCAAGAAATAACATTTACAGTACATATTACCTTGTTATCTCTAGCCACCATTTAACTAAAAATGAAATTTCCAATTATTTACTGGAGTTTGTAACAATTATCTTGTTTGGAGCTTAATTTTGCTTTGGGATATTTAGTGGAGGGTTGTTTGTTTTTTTATTTATATATGAAGAGTCACACTTAACTGAGGAGAAACTTGATAAGCTCATCTCTTAAATACAATGAATTTAAAGCAGTGAGAGCTTGGTATTAAGAGATTCTGAAACAGTTTCAAGACTTCTGATTTTTTCTATGTAAGACCTCTTAAAAATCCTCTTCTACAGGGAGCTAAGAAAATGCATACTGTACTTAAGTATTTGCTAGTCTCATTTAAAAGAATTGATATGCCAGCTGAAGTTACATCTCAGGAAGTATACTTGGGGCTTGTGGTTTTGAGTTGAGGCATCTTTTCAAGTGCCAACATGCTATCTTGCAGGAGCCAAATTTAGAGTATACAAGAGAGAACCAGAAAAGAGGGAAGACTCTGAATCAATATTTGTACTGCAGAATTTGTGATTTCAGTTGGTACGATTTCAAATTTAACTGCTAAAGCCATAAATAGCAATAGTAATACTTTAGGAATGATACTGGTCTTCAGAGAATTAATGTATTTTATATATACATAGAACAAATTAAATTATAATCAAGCACACAGTCATCTATTCTCCTCTAACCTTATCAAATCCAAACTTGCTCCATGTTCCTACACTCTCACCAGCCACCAGTAAGTTTATTGAAGAGCTTCAAAATGAGACAGGAAGTAGTTGTCAAGTCCAAGTCACTTACCCACATGCCACATACTGGTCATTTTTTGAAATGGCGATGCACACTCCTTCCAAAGAACCTTCATCTTCAAATTTGTGTAAACATTTTCTGCTTCTCACATCCCAAATGAAAACTTCGCCTTCCTCTGGTTGCAGAATAAAGTAGAAGATTATAGAAACCATATGTACAGAACACATTGTTTGTCTGTTTTGTTAAAACATTTTTCATTAGATGACAACTATTAGCTCATTTACAACTATCAAATATAGGGTATTTTTTAAAAAATAACTAAAGGCATAATAAAATAGTTAACTCACTTTAGTGATGAACCACTTGGTAGTATTTTTAGGACTGATACTGGCAAAAAAATCTTTTACTTATCTTTGAAAAACAATAAATGACTTATAAAAACTTACGTAATGTAAATGGAATTATGATTAGTGCTGTTCGAGAGAACACTTACTTGAATAGCTATATATTTTGCTGCTGTCTGAAGTGAAAGCACATGCAGTGCATCTCCCATTTATCTTCATAGTGCCGATCAGTTCCTTTGTCTGCAGGATGAAGAACAATGGTGACAATGATTCTAACCAAAACCTGCAGGAGAGGTGTTTCCACATTCCTGTCCCACAAAAACCTTAAGTTATCTACACTGACATTAAAAGAACAGCATCAACATTTTCAGTGCCTACAGATGAAAGCACAAGCCAATGCTTATGAGCGTGATCAATTCTATTACTGCACAACTATAGCTAGTACAATAAACACTCATTTGCTCCCTCACTGAAGGGCCTTCATTATATAACAGAACCGAACTTGCTTTTTAAAAAGTATTTTTTCTACTAAGTTTAAAACAAATCCAGCTGCCATCATATGGCATTTTAAAATTTAACTGAAAAAATTCTGTATGCATTATGAATCACAGTAGATGGCATGATTCATGAACACGGTACATCAGCATGCGCTAGCACGATTCCCAAAAAAGCAGTCCTATATTTCTTCCACCCTCAGATGCCTGTTGCCACGCTGAGGCCGTTCCTTTTGCCAGCACGATGTTCATGCACTCAGCTGAAATACAACATTGACATATGACTTTTCCCAGCGACAGCTTAAAAACCCCATGAAATTCTGCCCTTGGCTCTACCAGTCCCAAAGAGAAGTGCATAGTCAGAAAAAATTCTCAGACATCCCAAAAATAATTTTCTAAAGCTACAGTTAGTTGATTCAGCCGCTCATTTTTGAAGGCTGTCAGAGTATGTGTCAAACCTTTGTTTCACCTGAAAGCTTGATTGCTTTTCATATAAAATATAAACAAGCAGATTCAAAAGCAAAAAGGTATCAAGAAACTGAGGCTATATGAACCACAAAGAGAAACTACCTTCATTGACAACAAGTGAAGGTAACCTGAAGTTCCAGTTAGAAGCATAAGGGATCCATCTGGAGAGACTTCAAATTTTCTGATAAATCTTTCCTCCACACCTTTAAAAAGAAATTCAGAACTTCAAATTGGCAGCATTTATTATTTTTCTTCAACATTCAGATGTATGATGAATACAAATAAGACTTGACTCCACTTCAACTTTTCATTTCTGTAATACACTATAACAGTAAAGCTACAACTCAACTTTATATGAAAATTAACTTTTAATATCCCAGACAAGCTAAAATATTCAAGTAAAGATCCCCGAAGACAAGTTGAAAATACAATCTCAAACAATTCACTGCACTTTCTGTTAAAGCAAATTCATATGCCATCTCTATTTGGTACAGCTTCAACTATGCCCAGACACTTACAGCACTATAAAACGTACCTCTTACTCTCTCTATAGGAATAATATTTCCACTCATCATGTCATATACAAAGAACATTTTATGGTGAGTACCAGTGGCTATAACTTGTTCTCCATCAACACTGAAACAAGCCTTATGAATTGGAAAACCTTCCAAATAGATGCTCTGTATTCTTGGATTCCTTATACCATCAACCTTCAAAAAAAACCCAGATCATCATATTAAGGAACATGCCAAATACTTTTACACAGGAAATTCGTATCAACTAGCCAGTACAAGGGACTTACACAATAAGAGATACATCACTTTAAAGCATCAATCCCTCCCCCTTCTTCTCAATCTACAAATAATCTGGTTCTTGGCTCCTCACCCTATATATCAGGCACTCTCAAGCCTTCCTGGATATACCTCACACACCTTCCTTTCCCATCCTTTGTTCAAATAACCACTTCTATTGTGCTTTTCTAAATAAAAACATTTGCTTCCCATTGCTCTTTCCTGCAGCCCTGTGGAAGCATCCAATTCAACTTGTGTCTTTGACCATTTCACCAATACTGAGACATGTTGAAAACTGCTAGTTATGATCTTTAGTTTTCAGAGAAGCAAGGCAGGCGTGTCCCAGGATGAGTAGCTTCCTGCTGCAGTAGAGTCTCTCCACCCCCAAAATGATTTCACAGCAATATTAAATTAGACTGCTCCCCAAACTATAGGCTTTATAAACAAATCAAGAAAAAAAAAAATCTCATTAGTCATCACTGCAAATCTTAAAACCAAACATTTTTAAAAACAAATCTTCATCTACAACTAAGTTTGCCTATACTCTGCAAGTGGTTGGTATGAAGTCACAGACGGAAATTTCTTCCAACAAGATGCCTTCAGTCAAATTCAGTTGTAACCACAAACATTGCAACTGCTGTAAGCACTCCGTCACAGGAAAAGAGAAGGTCTATCATTCCAGGCTATGTCAGATATACTTATATAAAAAAATACCGTATTATTAGCCCTTTACATAATACAGATTAAAATTCTTCACCTGAAAGAGTGACACAGATCGATCTTGCCCAGCAGTCATAACAACTTGAGCAGAAGGATGAAACTGCACAGTTACCAGCCGTCCGTCAGCAAAACGTTCCTGATTAGCAGGCAAGCAGGTCCTCAACTAGAACAAAGATCGAGCAGTTTAAAAAAAAATACAACTTAAACATTTTTGCTCAGGCTGATGAACAGTCAGTTTAATTGCTCTTTATTGTACAAGAACAAGATCTCAAACCCTATGATGAACTTTTAGGCCGCATGATATAAGCAAAACATACACACAGTAACTTCAGTAAGTTGCTTCAATGCAGCAGGGTAGATAAAGTAGCTAACCTTTCCACCGACTTGAAACGAACATTCTATGTAAAACTAGTTGCATTCTGACTCATATGAAATAGCTGCAGAAGAAACAGAGTAAGGAACACTCATTTAAGGCTGTCTTTTCTCAAAGACCATTTCAGTAGTCTCTAAGTTGTGGGAAAATTCCATCCTTCCTGGGCAGAAATAAAAATCCCACCACAAGATGCTGCCTTAGAGTACACAAACTAATTCTTATGTCAAGCAACACATCTCAATTTATTGTTTCTTGCTTTTATGACGTGACCTATCCAATTTGTCCAAATGTTTACTCTTTAGTTTCCAGTTACAGAAATAAAGAAGAAATTCATATAATCACTAGTTTTACTGCCCAAACAACACCACACACAGTCACAGTGTGACTATGGGTCAAACTGAGGTGGAAAGATAGGCTTGCCTTTACCTTCAAAATACCTTTTGGCAGGGACTCTGAGTATGATACGAAATTGCCAGTCCTGCATAGCAGATCATCATCTTCATCACTGTCACCTAATTGAGACAAAGCACATTAAAAAGGCTAATTCCAAAGAATCCCACATCAGAACCTATAAATTCCTTACAGAAACAAATTAAATTAAATCAAAGCAGGAATAAAGCTGACTTATCCAGCATACTATCACAGTAGTGAAACAAGAGAAAACATCAAAAATAATTATTTTGTAGGAAGCTGAACAGGGAAACACAAAAATGCTTATTAAATTAGTAATGGATTTATTTACTGTCACTTGATGTCCTTTTGGATTTCTTCCTGTTTTCTAAGTCAGCCCAGGCAGGAACTCCTCCCATAGCTCGCTGAAACCTAACAAGAGAAGGGTGAAGATGAAAAGGCACAAAAAAACCTTTTTTGACAAAGTATGCATCAAGTATAACAAGACATACAGCCACAATTTTGCAAGATTACCTGCACTTAGAACACGATGCAAGTTCTTTAAACATTCACTCAGTTTTGTTTTGCTGACTTCATAAATGTGAAACTAAAGCAAAATTGATGCCGAACATTAAAGCACTGTTCTTTAGAACAGTACATGCTAATACTAACACAACCCAAACACATCTCAGCTCAGTCTTATATACTATACGAAGTTAGCATCTTCCACCATTCTATTTACAGAGCAACATATCACTACAAAAGATTTATAGTATAGCTCCCTAGAATACAAATTAATTTGTGCATCTCTACTAAAACAAGTATTAAACTAATTAGTCTAAACAATGCCAATGGACATTTTATTATGCCTAGTATTATTTTAGGTTTTAATTTACTACAAATAGCGTCAGAAGGACTACCTTTAAGCAGACCACGTTAATACAATGGGTAAATGGCAAAGTGACTCTGAGTATCACACAAATGTATCTCATCATAATAAAGTTAGCCACAAAAACATTTATAAAACTCACTGTTCTTCAAGTCTTCTTTTAAATTTTTTCTTAGTAAGAGTCTTCTCAGCATCACTTTTCATGAAATCTTTCCTATACTTATGGGTCATATCAACACTAGAGGAAAAAAACACAGAGAACATTAAGATTCCAATGAAGCCACTAGCAGCCAGACTTAAGTGTGACATGTAACTCTTACTTGCAAACTTGAACTTACTTTTCCTCAGCTTCATCATCTTCGTCCACCCAGGCTGGCTTCTTGGGCAAAAATTTACTTTTTGCTGTATCTTCTACTTCTGAATCACTGGAATCTTTCTGAAGACTTGCCCTCTCTGTAGCCTTAAGCTGAAAACAACCAAAGATGCCATTTTAGCCCAGCCACGACTCGGTACCGGGAGGTGACAGACAGCGGCGGGAAACCGGCAGGGCCAAGGAGCCAAAGCGAGCACCAGCCGTTGCTCCCCGCGCCTCGGGACAGGCCGCGGGGCAGGAACCGCCCGCCAGGCCCCAAGCCCTACCCGCTCAGAGCCGGCCAAGCACTGCAGGAGCTCGTCCTCTTCCGCGGGGAGGCTGTCGCCGAACACCAGCTCCTCCAGCTCCCGCTCGGCGCCCGACGTGCGGGAAAGCGCCTTCAGGTGCCGGGCGCGGCGAGACGCCTCCTCCGCCGCCGCCCGCTC